ACTTAAAAAATCGTTTACCAGCATAAATATATTATTTGCTACAAACTTAAGAAATTTGAAAATTCTAGTTCAAAACAAGAACCAGAACATGCAAACAATTTCCTCAGAGTTGTGAAATAGTAATATTCTTTATAAACTCGTTAATAACTAGCGCCACATAAACGTTGGAAGGTTCTACAAAAATGTAATTTTTTTAATATAAATTACTACACAGTTCTAGAAATATTTGGTCAATCGTATTGGACTTAGTTCCACTATAATGAAAATGTACCAAATTTTAGCAAACCAAAATACTTTTATCTTTAATTTTGTCATATATATATATATATATATATAAGGAGGGTTCAAATGACACCGGTGTAACTTTTACTAAGTGTTACACCGCTTAATAATTTTATATTAAATGTGAATTTTGAAAATTCAACCGTTAAATTGAAAGTTCATATATCTTTGATCATATATATCAAATTTTGTTAAAATTGAACAACTTGAAGGTAATCAAAGTGTTCATATTTTAATATATTTTGAAATATATATTACGTCAATTTTATTTTATGAGAATGAAGTATCAAATCATCTTAGATTAATATAAAATTTGATATATATGATCTAAGAGATATGAATTTTCTATGTAACAGTTGAATTTTTAAAATTCATATTTCATATAAAGTTATTGAGCGGTGTAACACTTAGTAAAAGTTACACCGGTGTCGTTTGAACCCTCCTCTATATATAACTTTATATGAAATGTGAATTTTAAAAATTCAACTGTTACATAGAAAATTCATATCTCTTAGATTATATATATCAAATTTTATATTAATCTAAGATGATTTGATACTTCATTCTCATAAAATAAAATTGACGTAATATATATTTCAAAATATATTAAAATATGAACACTTTGATTACCTTCAAGTTGTTCAATTTTAACAAAATTTGATATATATGATCTAAGATATATGAACTTTCAATTTAACGGTTGAATTTTCAAAATTCACATTTAATATAAAGTTATTAAGCGGTGTAACACTTAGTAAAAGTTACACCGGTGTCGTTTGAACCCTTCTCATATATATATATATAGATCAAATTATTCTAAGAAAGTGTTTGATACAGGAGAAAAGTTTTTTATACTCAAAAATCATGATTGCTGAAAATGATCAAAATTCATTTGATTATATATAAAGATTATCACGTTCAATTATAATATTACTTTCTTGAGTATATAAATATTTTTTTACAAAAAAAAATATTCTTTATTAAAATAATATCATTAAAATATCATATTTAACTTAAAATAATTGTAAAATCAAAAAACGATCTTAAATCTCATGAGAGGTTATAAGTTTTAATGATAATAAATAAAATATTTTAAGAAAACTTTTTTAGATAAAGCAAATAATATTTTTTGTTTGTAAGACAAAGTACACTAGATGAAACACATCATCTGAATTCATGCTACATTTATTTCTTTTTATGAATTCAAATTATCTTTTAAGTGCATTAAATACTTTATTCCTTAACAAGTTGAACAAGAAAACTTTCTTGAAGACATGAAAAATCGCTAATATTGGAAAGTCAAATCTCTGCGTCAGAAAGACAGAAAAAGATCCTAGAAATCACGGAAAAGAAGACAGGAACTCTAAACACGCCGCACTACTCTGATATAGCCATTGCTTTCTGTCTCACCTAAACGAAATGATGATAATTAGCTGTCAAGATCAAATAAGAGACGAACATTTTCATGCAAAGCATTAAATGCTTGCAACAACAATTAATTTACTCTTAATTTCTCTCTGATCTCGAAGAGAAGAACAGATGAAGCATCTTGAGAATATTGCTTAACAGCCATCTTCTCTAAAACTACTATAAAATGATCAATCTTCAAACAACGACAATACAATGTGAATCAACATAAATAAAAGATCAATACTTATTGAGAAATTTGCATACCGCAAAGAACCTCTTCAATTTTTGTAGATCTTGTACATAGTTCTTTGTAAACTATTTGTACTTAATTTTTATAACATCACGTTTAGAAGAAACGAAGCTATCTTTGTAACTCCTTTCAAATTTCATTGTAAGGGTTGAGACTGGAGAGGCTTGATAAAAGAATACTTAGTATTTGAGCTTGAAGAGGCTTGGTTGAAAAGAATACTTGGTGTTAAGTCTAGATAGGTTTTCTTAAAGAAAACTTGGGTAGTTGCTTAAAGAGGCAAGTCAAAGACTATTTAGATTTGAGCTAGAAGTGACTTGTTGAAAGAATACTTGTATCTTAAAAAAGATAGTGGAACTCAATCTGATTGGATTGAGAACGGGATGTAGTCTATGTGTTTAAAACGAACCAATATAAAAGATCCATGCTCCTTCGTCTAATTACTTTTTAGTACTTTGCCTATCAAAGCTTTTACTACTACACTGCATTAAAAAAGGTATTAATTTTTTATGTACACTATTCAACTTCCCTTCTAGTATGTATCTTTTTCTCCAACAATAATAAATCAATAATTTACATATATAATTAAATTATACACAAAATGCATAGTAAATAAAAGTCAAAAATATAATTCTAATTGTTCATCTCAATAAGAATAAATTTAAATTAACAATTAAAATTAAAATATAAGTACACAAGAAAACAATTAAAAAAACATATATAACATTATTTTCAATGTTTTAAAAAGTGATTTGGACCCATCAGTTCAATAGGTTGAATCAGGAATGTAGTCACTCCAAGCTTTGAATTAGATCATTTATGTAGTTGACCAATTACAAATCGATATGGACTAGCAAATTTTGTGGTTGAACTGGGGAATTAGATCAACTCAAACCAATTCAACTAATAAAAACGCTTTTAAAAAGATAATAAAGAGAACATGCACCACATGCGAATTGAGCCGCGTTCCTTGGCATAGAAAGAAACCAATTAACATTTGCACCAACCATTATACCAACAAGTTTAGTTATTATATAAGTAACATAAATAATTTCTATAGTATAATTAATTTTAAATTATATATTTAATAATATAATACATATACACATATTATATATATTATAGTGATATTAATTACAAGTATATTATATATATGTACATATTATTTATAATTTTAATATGTATTAATTTATGTAGTTCAACATGCAACTTTCTCATGTATTTTTTCATATAAAATAATAATAATAATAATAATAATAATAATAATAAAATAAGATGGGAATTGAATCTAAGTGAATATGATTATTTAAACTTATATTTTTGGAAAGTTTTTTATGACATGATGAATTAAATTAGATCATACAATTTAATTAGTGATCCATTAGTTTAATCTTTGATCTACGTAACCTAGTATTCTAATTAGTTTAATAACCGGTCTAATTTTTAAAATTGTGGTTATTTTGCTTAAAAAATGTTAAATTTAGAAGCTAAAAATCCTATTAAAAAATTAGCAAATCAGTTTTATAACTTATAAATTTTAAATAATTATAAAAATGTCATATCTCATGAAAATTAGATAATTATTTAATTTTTATTATTAAATTAACGGAAAAGTAATTAGAAAAATAAATAGTACTTCCTACATAATAAACAATCAAATATTTTGTAATAAAAAACACAATAAATAATTTGTTAAAAGTTTATATACAAAACATTACACTGATTTCTTTTTCTTCTTAAAAATAATATAATTAAAAGTGATAAAAAAAATTAATTAATTAAATTAATTTATATTCTAATTAGTTAATAAAGTTAATTTGAGTTTGTGTATTTGTTGTTCATTGATAATGGATAAAAAATGTTATTTAAGTTTATATATAAAAAAAAGAGTTAATCATTCATACACTAATAGTGTAAATTCTTTTATATTGGCAACCAATCAAATCTTTTAAATTATTTTATTTTATTTTTATTTCATTAATAAGCAACTGACATAACACTATTAAAAGATATGATTGATTGTGTATAAGTGATTAACTCATAAAAAAATGTGTTATCTCTTTCTCACTATTTGACAAATGAACAATGAAGTGTATGAAAAGATAAATATTTTAGAAAAAAATGAATCTTAACTAAATATTTTCTATTTTTAAAAAGGGGATAATGTGGTCTTCTTATATATATAAATTTTTTTCTCTAAATTAAAAAGGTTGGATTCTCAACTCCTGAGAATCATTTTGTTGAAAAGTGAAATAAAAGTAATTCTCCAAAAATTATATCCCCTAAAATTTTTTTTAAATAGTTACTAAACATAGGAAATCAAGATTCCTAATCTAAGATTCTTGAAAAATAAAAATATTTCTTGCACTAAATATCCCATAAGAAACTTTTAGTGAAGTTACTTTATTTAATAACACATAATATATGTCAAATGTCAATAATCAAACTATTAAACTAAAAGTTCTTCATGTATAAAGTTTATATATTTTTTAAATTTTAAAAATTATATAATATTATTATATGAGTTCAAATTAATATATAAAATATTTTTATCATAATTCATCCATTTAAATTAATAAAATTCAGTTTAAAATAATTTTCAAAATTTTAAATAAAATTTAAACTTGATTTAAATATTATAAACTTTCAATTTAATAATTAAATCAGTAAAGTTCAACAATAAATTATTAAATAAAATAATTTTACCAAGAATTACCTTTGAAACAATTTGATTTCTTTATATATATATATACACACATATGTCTACATATATATTTTTTTACTTCTACAATCTGGACGTTTACTTTTACATTCAGCAGTTGTAGCTTCAAATTCTTAAATCTAAATAACGCCACTCATTCTTAGACATCGTTAGCTACTTTTCAGTTGTCACTACACAACAAATGGCACCTATAATTTCAATTTCCTTTTCTTAGTCACTCAAGATTCGACTTAGGAATCACTAATAACTTCAATTTTCGTGTTAATTTTATTGAAATTGACAACAAAATGTTTTCATAAGTAACTTAACGTGTTATTATGGCCTTGGACATCAGTAAAATACAGCATATCCTATATCAGGAAAAGCTTTTCAGCATTATCTGAAAGGATTTTAGGAAAAATGAGATTTCAACTTTTGAAGCCAAAACTCAACAATTCCCAAACCTATTGCAAACAGAGGAGACTGAAAATTAATGCCTCATTGCATTTGTAAAAAGAGAGAAAAAATAAAGCATAAGTTATTCATTTCACAATGAAAACTGGCACTTTTCTTCTTCTATATCTACTTTCAGTCAGTCCCTTGTACACATAGGGGTTAAATTCACTTTCTTTTTTTCTGTTATGGCATTCAGAAATTTGTTGTCCAGTTGATGTGGCCCAATTGGGGCTGCTGATATGCACCAACCTGTGCTCCAGGAGCAGCTGCAGCCACCCCAACACCAACATTGTTGCCAATAGTTGGTGGCCCTAAGTGGTGAGGATTAGCCATGGCAGCAGGCTGTGGAGGAGTATGGTACATGCCAGGAAACTGCATGTGAGAAGACTGAGCTGCAGCTGCATTGAAAGAAGCATGACCAGTGTGTGAAGGCATGTAAGCTGCATGAGGTGTTTGCCCTGGCATGTTATAGTAAGGAGTCGATTGCATGCCTGGAAGATCCCTTGGATTCTGTAACCAGATTTCTGATGTCTCAGCCTGTGAATGATAACAAACTAAATCTTAGTTTTGTTATAGAAAGCAATCATGAAGGAAAAGGTGATGTAATATGCAGAGATTTATTAATGGCATGAGGATAAAGCTTTACTAATCTTTTCCTAATATTCTATTTCCCACTAGATTAATAGTCATGTGGACTACATTACTTGCTTTATTGCAACTTATTATACTATTCAAAGCTACACTATACACAGGGTTAGGAACTGTTGGCACCTCCCTGACGACTAAGAAAGAAAAGAAAGTCACATCAATTTTAGCAAAATAAGCTATCCAGAGTTAACCAGAATGAAGTGCATAATTAGCTCAAGCACCAGGTCAAGATGAAATATCCGCCAAGTAAATTAACCCATAAAAAACTATATTAAGAGTCCCCATTTCTGAATAGTGCTGCTATAATCAAGACTAAAATATCCATAAAGATAGTAATGTTAGGCTTGTTTGGTTTAAATGATCAATTAGCTTATAGCCTAATAGGTTTGCACAGTAAGGAGTTGATTAAAAATTTTAAAAATCATGGAAAGGTATGTGGCGACATGTTTGATAATGCTGCATTTGCTGATATTCAAACGTGTTCTTTAACACCACAGACACATTACCTGAGGATTTGGGACATAAAGATTATCTTTGTACTTGACTCGAGATGAATCTTCTAAAGCTGTTGCACCGCCAACCACACCAGGAGTTATCATGGCATATCCAGTGGGATTAGCAAAATTTCCAAACCCTGTAGGACTACCAGCAGGAACAGGCTTGAACTGTTGAACTCCATATTTGAGGTTATTGGCATTGAGATGGGAACCACCTCCAGGCATTAACAAGTAACTGCTGCCATTTGTTGGGTGAGGATAGGGGGGATTACTCGAATATCCAGGCATGGCCATTGGTGGAACATAGACCGGTGACAGAAACTGACGATATGGCATAAGATTAGCAAAGTGTGAAACATGAACTTGCGGATACATCTGCGGCACAGGAGGTTGCTGTTGTTGTACCATGGCGATTGTGGAAGCTGGAGTATTATTGGTTGCATGGGAGATCAAAGCCTGCAATCACCAAATATTGGGTGCCAAGAGAGAAAAAATTAGTGAATTTAGTACAGATGAGGAAGACCAAAAAAATACAGTCCCAATTAGTCATGCATTTTAAAGGGGGAGAGAGAACTGTCTCCATTATGAATGATGTCAAAAGTATTATATCCCTCCATATATAAAAATTTATTATACCTCCTGAGATGACAAACCCTGCCCTCGTACAGTTTCATCAATTGTGGGTCTGAAATAAGGAATGTCATAACCAGTTGGAGGATCGTATGCCTGTTTGGAAATTTAAAAGTGAGAATGGAAAGACAATAAGGCACAACAAATACATATTTATTTACATAACACTAACACTAACACCATAACAAAGATGTTTAATACACTTAATTTCTCTGGTTCTTCACCATGAACGTTAATGATAGTGCAATGCAAGTATAAAATACATGTACAAGATACAATATATATACCCAATACAGTAATACAATTATTTTTAAAACATAAGATATGATACGTGTAAGATACATATCTAGATATATATATATATATATATATATATATATATCAAAATTCATAAATAAAAATATAATATAGAACTGCAATTCTGCACATCCAAATTCAGAATATACTTCTTGGACTTGAACATTACTAAAAACAAAAAATTTATAAATCATTATCATAAATTACTACCGATTAACAAACAGGAATAGTACAATCAAACTCATTCCTTTCTTAAAATCATCCATAAAGAGGACAATTTCATTTTTGGTTTATCAAGGGACAATTCACAATGTTTATATTTTCCTATATTATAATTTATAAATTATACTCATGTTTCTTATAATTTTTTTAAGGCTTGATACTTCATCCGTACATATACATGAAGTATCCAAGAGTATTTGTATCAGATACGGTGCTTCATAGAAGTTTAGCTGTTCTTTTATTTATTTTTCAGCATGTATATACATTGTGTAATACAAAACTATTTAGGGATCAAATAGCATTCATCAATTTTAGCCGTTTTTTATTTTTATTTTTTCAGCATATATATGTAGTGTAATATAAAACTTTTTAGGGATCAAATAGCAGTCATCCCACTATTCACTATCAAACTAGTGTTTTTTGTACCAGCCACACCACCAATGTTTTAAATCCCGCATGGTGGAGCGACTGAACCCCAACACCAAAGTGGGATCGACTATATCACGAAGGCCACTGTTCTGAAATTTTATATATATCGGATTGTTTTGGGTATAGAATAACCCAATTTGGGGTGCAGGCCCGACACCCTCTAAGTCTAGAAAAAAAAAATTAGCCTCTTTCTCCAAAACAGCTATTCGGCTGTCACCTCCTCAAATAACTCAACCATCTTTTCTTCTCCCAAAAAAAGAAACGTGTCCTCTGCTTCTGCAACCCTAGACAAGGGCAGAAGTTGCCGAAGAGGCGAAGAGCAAGGCCCTAAAACTGCAGAACAGCTGCATGCCACCAGAGATGGCCAGAAGAGATAAGACTGAGAAATGGGGCGGTTGCGTGAGAGAAAATATGGGATATAGTTGACACTTTTTTAACAAATTGAATAGGGGTGCTATCCCAGCTGCTACAGCCGCAATTTGGTCCACTATGAAGGCCATCAATGAGGCCAGAGGCCACCTCACTCCACCATGGCTCTATAATGCACTATTTCTCAACCCTGTGTGCTACTATCCACTTCTATTGAATGACCAAACAAAAACACAATTGTAGGCTTTAATAAGTAATAACTTAACTTTGCATGACCATAAGGAAAGTTTAAATATGTAGACTATGATGGTAGTATTGAAAGGAATACTCACTGCAAAGCCTGGCATATCATGAGAATCTTGTTGCTGTGGTTCTGAAGGTGCATAGGATGGACTGCTATCACGTACCAATCCAATATTGGCATAGTTGTCCAGATTCTGAGTGTTTGAAGAGTCTTTGTTATCAGGCAATTGTTGCTCAGAAGCAGCACCGGATGCTGGAGAGTCTGACCCAGAACTTCTAATGTGGTCATCCCGCAAGTCCACCTGTTTGCTCCCAGAAATATCAGCAGAGGACAACTCCGGAGCAGGTACTGTCAAACTGACATCAAATGTAACAACATTACATCTTGTTTTATCCTTATTAGCCATGTATAAATAAAACATATCGGATATAACTCTGAAGAAAATTTTCAAAACCACATGAAAATATCACATATAATCCAAGGCCCAAACAATGACTCTTTTAACATAAAATTAAAATTTTTAAAAAGTTGTAAACAAGCAAAGCAAGAATGCCAACCTTGCAGTCAATTCCTCATTTGATTTTTCGGAAGCTCCTATTAAGTTATACTTAGATTGAAGCCTTGAAGAATCAAGCTCAGTCCCAATGGTACCAAAGGTCAGCCGACAGCGATCAGTCTCTGGAACTCGAATATGCTGTGCTATAATAACATTTTGGTTCTCATATAGATTTGCTTGGGAGAATTTATCTTGAAGCTCTGCTGTATCTGATTCAATATCTCCAGAACTTTCTGCTGGAGGTGAAGTAGAAGCAGCAGCCTTTTTTGGGGTTCCAATTACTCCAGGATTATTACTGTTTGACTTCTGGCTTGATTTAGGTTTCCACTCTTTATTTTGCTGGGAAACTGCATCAAAACTCATCAAATTTCTAGGCATGGAAAAATGGCAAACAATAAAAACGAAACCTACCAAAAAATTATCATATCTCATTAAAGTGGATAAGAAAATGGATAGTTTTACAGTGTATAAGCACTTCGACAAAAAAAAATGCCAATAAAAAAGCAAAAAATGGATTACAATATATATTTCAATAAGCAAAGATCTCTGCAACAAAAAAAAAAAAAAGGCTTAAACCCAATCAATTGTTTTGGATAAATAACATAAACCTCATTTTGACTGGACAACAATAGTTCATTTACCCTACCTAAGAGCAAGCTACAACATTCTACTCTTAAAAATTTATATTAAAATCATATTTTAGTAGAGCTGTTTCAAAGTTATACCTCTTTGGTGTCCCACAAGTTGTTGATGTGGCCTATTATTATACTGGTTGTTCAGAGACGGTCTGCTAGCTGGCATACCAGATAATGAGGGTTCAGTTACATTAGTTTGACTAAATTGTTCAGTCTTTGAGACAGCACCAACTGATTGAAAAGAATCTGCGGATGTACCATCTTTTCCCACAAGGGAATTAGCATAAGAGCTACTAGGAACAAATGATTGTTTTACTTTGTTGTCTGAAGACTGCCACCGAACACCAACAACCCCAACTTCACGCCTAATTGCTCCAACAACACCTGATGATCTAGAATCAGGAGAGGGCACATGAACTGGATCTGTTGAAGAGGAATACACCCCAACAGCAGAACTGGTTGATGCCACTGATGCAGAATTTTGTTGATGGATGTTGTTTGGCTTCATTGGTTGCACCCGTCCTGCTGCATTCGAAACCATGCCTTGCTTATCCTTATCCTCAGATGCCATTTTTCTGTCAATGATATTTGCAACAGCATCTTTTGGGGATTTAGCATGTGAATCAGAAGGACCATTTAGTGCCTGATAAGAATTCCTAGCACCAGATGACCTATGATTTGAGGAAGTGGATGAGCTGAAACAAAGATAACATATGAATTATATACAAAATTCAATTATCCAATAACTTTGTGAAAATAAATCAAAACAGCAATCCCTAACAAATGCAGCTTACAAATGATATAAGAATGAAAGTTATCTTTCAAGTCTGACTCCAAAGGTTAATTGCATTAGTTCAAATTAAAAGACTAGTGACTAGTAATTGGCAGCACCACTGATCTTTCATTTCTGGTAAAATCTATTATTGGAAAACATTCCTAATGTTACAGAATCCACAGACAAAGAAAAAACAATACATTTTCTGTTTTGTGGGGAAAAAAGAGCAACACTCTGTTTTTAATGTAGTATAATAGTTAAATACTTTTACTCTATTATTTATTATCTTATCAATATGGGTTTATTACTTCTCACCATTTGATTCATTTCTAAACCCTTCAAGCAAACATAAGCTCTTTAACATTCTATCTGTGGCAGTATATACGTTGCACCAATTTGCATGCATATGACCTAGGTTTTACATAATTCATGTAACATGTATGGACAACTACCGACACTGGATATGTGAAGTATCCTGCTAAATACAAAAGAAGTAAAATTCAGAGCATACCCCTTTTCAGAAGTGTTTACAATTAACTGCTCAGTGGTGGATGTGGAGTGCTGCTGCGGATGAGGCTTTACTTCTTTATATATATGATTTACTCTGTTGTCTCTAACAACACGGAACTCTCTGCTGATGCCTGAATAGTTAGACAGAATTTAAAGATCAGTGCATATAATAATGCTCATGACCATACAAGAAAAGACAGGTGATCCATTTAGTTTTTTTGAAAACATATACAGAACAAGCAATCCACTTAGCTATTTGAAACTGCATACAAATGAAGGTCTGATACAGAAAACCACAAATTCATCAGGAGTGAACATTTTTAGATGGATAGATGACAAAAATATCATTGATTAATTGGTTTCATATAACAAGATAATAAATCCCTCTCCCTCTGAATAAAAAATGAGATATAATGGAGAGAAACAGCATAAAAATAGCAGCCTCCAGAGTGAAAAAGCAATGATAAAGTGAACAGGAAATGCAACAAACTATAAAATTAAATTTAGGATCTTCAGCATATCTATGTTAGTAACTATTAGGTCATATTCTATCAATAAGAATAAAAACTAATGACAAATTTATTGAGAGTAAAAAATGATTGCTCATTCTGAACAACATGCAAATCAGGGCATCACACTTAAAGCCTCAAAACAAGCATTTTACCAGGTAAAGTACTCCGAGAATAGTTTGCTCTTCGAACATTGCGCTCAGAAGAGGAGTGAAATTTCATTCCTTGACTACCATTCTCGTTACGTTCAGAAGGGGTGTGAAATTTCATTCCTTGGCCGCCATTCTCAGACTGCCTTCGCGAGTCAGATGGACCCTTGTTCACAACATTCTGGGTCTGCAATGACAGATGCATATTAATAAATTACTGATAAGAAAACCACTAGTCTCAAATGTTTAACTATATGTGATCCAAAATGTATACAAGTGATACCTCCTTCTTTCGGTCCCTCCTTCTTTTCACCTCATGAAATGGATCTGAATAATAAAACCACAAAGAAAATTAGAAGATTTTTTTGTTTAATTTCTTTCTTAATACTTAATTGGAACATACTCAAACCCAAAATAGAGCTGGACAGGCAAACTGAAATAAATAATGCATCAACTGCAAAATTGCAACCATGGTTCGAAAGAATCAACTATATAATCAAGAAACATATATTAAAAATATTTACATTATATCAAGTAATATTTAAGATTAAGGTGAATATTCCTCACCCAAATCATTCACACACTCAAAACCACCAGTTGCATATCCCGGCCAAAATAAAGAAAAGTAACAAAGCCAAAAAAAAAAAAGACTAAATGCAAGCATGCCATGTTTGAAAAAATGCTCCCCGACCAAGATTTTAGTAGCAACATTTTTCAATTCTCAGCAACCACAATTGCATAGCAGCCACACTTGCCTGCAATTTTCCGCAATGTCAAGGATAACTGCAATAATGCAGCAAGGATAAAAAAAAATACACAATCAACAAAACATTAATTTTTCAGACCAAACAAAGCACTGAAAAAATGCTCCCCGACCAAGATTTTAGTAGCAACATTTTTGAATTCTCAGCAACCACAATTGCATGGCAGCCACACTTGCCTGCAATTTTCCGCAATGTCAAGGATAACTGCAATAATGCAGCAAGGATAAAAAAAAATACACAATCAACAAAACATTAATTTTTCAGACCAAACAAAGCACGGGCAAGAGGCTCAACCTAGTCACCACAAAAATCAAGCCAACAAAAACCACTCCAAGCTCTCAACATACTCATTCTCACACAGGCAAATTAAACAACAAAATGCAGCCCACACATGGATTACACCAACACACCCTAAACTTCATAAACATTCTCCACCAATCCAAAACCCCACAAGAGGGCACATAAATGAGAGCCAAAAACCAAAATTATTCAAAACCCAAAAATGTAAAATAAGATTAAAGGAGAAAAAAATAAAGTATAGCCCCAGCAAGGCACCAACCAACCTTGGTTGAGCAATTTCTGAGTGGTTTCGTTAGGATCCATGTTGGTTTCCTTGAGGGCGACATAGATATCAGCATCAGAATGATTTCCCACGATTTCCTTGATAGATTGAATGGTTTTGCGCACTCTTGCGGAGAGCAAGTGAGTACCAGTGGCACCCTCCGTTCTGGAAACAGGGACCATTGCACCCAAAACCCAGAAGAACACGATCCAGAAAACAAAACACTAACGCAACGGTGAAAAAACAAAACTTGAGGCTGTTGCTGGGGAGAACAAGAGATGGGTAGGGTTTTGTTGTTCGCAATCGAAACAGAGAGAGACGAAGAACACAAAAGAAAAGCAAGCGGCTTCGAACGACAGAGTGAGGGTTTTGAAAACGTTTGACAATGACTTTAGTTTTCAGGGAAAAAAAAAAAAAAAAAAAAAAAAAAAGAGAAAAGAAAATATTTATTAATAAATCCTAAATTGCTCCATGTGTTGTGTTGTGTGCCCTAGTGTTCTCCACTAAACTACGCTTGTGCCCTTTGTTTAACCCAAAATTGCGAATCATTTTCAAACCCTTCACCAATAATTTGAAACCAACTCCTGCTTATTCATTATCCATTTAGCAATTATCAATTTTGTAAAGGTCAAAATTATAAGAGCAAAGTGAAATTAGCATCCTCCATCCGATATAAATTCAAATAATCATATTAAAAAATGTTTTTTCAAAATATACCAACAACTCAACATCTTTTATTTAATTTTATATATCATGTTAATGACGAACTAGCATCATATAATTTTAAAAAATTAAAATACTAAATTTATAAATAAAAAAAATAGAATCAAAATTATACTTTTATGAAGTTATAGTGATTAAAAATAAATTTAAATCTAAAGATAATTTTTTATTAAAATATAAAATATTTATCATTAATTTAAAATGTAATGTATATGATTAAAAATTATTTATTACGAGTTTATATTTGAAAATATTTATCTGTTAAAAATTTTAGTTATACGACAAAAGTTTATCTTGACTAGTAAAGTATTGTTTTTAAAAAATGTTTGAAACTTACCTTCAACGCCGATCCTTATGAAATGAGGATTCACATACATAAAAAAGTGAGATGAGTTAAACAAACGCACACTTAAATTTTTGAATATATACAATAAAAGTTTATTATAATATAATTAAATTTTATAACAAAATAAGAATTTGAAATTTGAAATTATATATATTATTTTATAATATAACTTATATTTTAACATATATTATGTATTGACTAAATGTTATTATATATAACTAAAATTTATAATAAATTATATATTTAAATATATAAATTATATTTTAAAAAAATTATTTTTATTTTTTACTTTTAAGAATATAAATTATATTTTAGATTTATAGTAAATTTATTTTATGTAAAAATAATTTTTAGATTTTTTATTCAATGTGAATGTTTTTCTTTTACTAGAAGGTTTTTAGTTTTTAGAAATTTTTTCACTTATTATCAAATTTAATTGCTATTTATCATATTTATTTATAAATCAAATTTAATGTCTAAAAAAATATCAATAATTAAAAATAATTTTATGTTATAATATAAATTTTTTACCATAAATTCTAAATATAATATATGTTTAAGAATATCTATTTATAAATTTTTTAAATATAATTTATATATTTAAAAATAGTATTTATTTTTATATATAATTTATTATAAGTTTTAATTAAATATGATAAATATTTATTTTGTACAATACACAAGTTAAAATATTAGTTTATATTGAGATAAAAAAAATTAATTTTGATAATTCTTTTTAAATATATTAAAAGATGAATTAGATAAGAAGTTAAAATAATCTATAAAATAATTTTTATATATATAGTGTATATATATATAAATATATGTGTGTCAATTAAATTTTATAATAAAATAAATGTTTTAAAATTAAAAATTATATATTTTATTTATAGAAAGCATTTCAAATGAAAAATTTCTTGAAGTGATGAATAATTTATTTTTTTTATGTTTGAGGTGTTTTTTGATTTTAAGTTTTAAAAATTATAACCAAAATTTAGTTTTAGTTTTGATTCTACTTTTTAGTTTAAAAAATCCCACTTTAAAATGTTTTTATCATATTAAAATGTGTTTAAGATGTATTTATAAAAAAAATCAAATGTTGATAGTATTGCACCAATATCCATAGCAGTAGCATTAATGGTGATGATGTCAATGTTGTAATAGTAATGCAAGTGTCAATGTTCATGATAGTAATGGTAGTTATATTATTAATGATATTATCAATTACAATAATCATAACAATGTTATTAGTAGTATTGAAGCGCCATTGATAATAACAATAATGATATCCATATCAATAATAACTATAATAATATTGGGGTTGATGAAATTTTTTTATCATAGTCATAGTAATGACAATATCAATAATAATAATTACAATAATAATAACAAAAATATCGGTGTCTAATGTAGTGAAAGTTTATCTTTTAAAAAATAGATGTGCAATGAGCATTAATTGTACCACTTTGTTAACCTATTTTTATTATTATCTTTTGATCCTTATTTAGACTAAATTTATAACACAAGTTAGATCTTATATTAGAAAATAATAAGGTCATTCGCATATAAATGGTTGCACTGCACATGCTAGTGAACTTTGCATTCTCAAATATGGGATTGGAAGTATGAATTATACATATTGGATATTGGTAGATCGGTAATTTGGACTGGTAAAGTGAATTCTACATATTGGTAGATTAGTAGTCATCAATGCTACGCCCACCTGCCGAAAGTGTCCTCTAGAACACATGAACTGTGTAAAGAATGTCTACCTAACAAAATTAAATCTAATTAGTAATTGAGAAATACATTACAAGATTTGTTATCTAATATAATTAACAGAAAATAAGTAACTAATTCATAATTCACAATACATATAACTTAACCAAATGTTATAGGTTTTTATTGAGTTTATAAAAGTAATTTATAATCCTCCTTTTTTTTTCTAACTTGTTTCAATAAGTTTCATGGTAAAAGAGTCCCATAATAATACTATTTGACAAATTTACCTAAACTACCATTTTTGTACCAAAATTCTGGTTAACTCATATGTTTCGTCATTTGTATTCTTTAACTATCATAATTCAATTTTTAGCTTTAGTTTGGATATGAAGTCATGACCTAGAGATATTATTTTATCTTTATAAGAGCCAACTCTTAGGAATGAATGATACCTCTTTATTAGATTAAAAAAAAACCAACATTTTTAATTGAATAAGTGTTTCATATTTACCTTTACCCAAACATTTCCAAAATCTTGAATTTCAAAGAAACTTGTGTTGGCCCTTAATCTTACATTTTCTAATGTCTAAAACCATGCACTTCCTTACGAAGTTCCGGTGATTCGTTTAGTGCAGAATTTCAATCTAGAGCACTATATTGTTTAACCATTTTAACAGAACCAGACTTGTTATCTCACTTGGAATAGTTCAAAATTCATACAAAATGGAAAACATTAGACATTGGAAAGTTTTAACTAAAACTAAAATATCATCACTACTATCATACTGCATTTCTCGACAGCTGAAGTGAACTACAAAGTTGAAAGTAGCAGTTACATGCAAATTATCCACCAAAAATAAGGTAACAGGACCTAGAATAATAATGCACAATACTGTTGTAAAGCTTTCCAAGTTGTACTGTGTTAGCCTGCTGAAGCAGTTATCTGTGTAAAGGCTCTTCTATAGTCACAGTCACAAGTATTGTTCTTGTATCCTAGCACGGTTCTCTTCCCACCACAATCTCGCATGCATTTCTCCAAACTTTTCCCGGCTGTGTAAAACAATGAAGTTTGAATTTAAATGAATGTAATTCTACATGATAGATCAAAATTGATGACTAAGCAATCTAGCTATTAAGACTCAAGAAAGGTTTCAAAGGGATAAATCAAAAACTTAGTTAACAAGGAACTACATCCAAAACTGGCTTAAAAGCTTAATGAAAGTAGAACATAGAATCAATCACTAAATGTAAACTAAATTACCAAAGTTAAAAAAGATAAAAATCCAAGAGCATGAGCAAGTTTTTCACACCATTCATGAGTGAAGATAATTAGTAACAAAGAATTAAAAAGCTGCTGCATTACCTGAACCGAACACGCCTGAGTTCTCTGGTTCCACCTGGAAGTGCTCTAATAGTGATGTATACTCCTGGTTCATCCTGTTCAACCCATTCAGTTTCCATGTCACTGGCATTGCTGATTGAAAACTCGCCCGAGTGATCTTCTTCTTCCGATGAACTAGTCCTTACTGAAGCATCGATGGATGATCTTTCTGTCTTTGGTGCACTAATGTTGGAAACATTAGGCGCTAATGCCAGACCGCTTGTTTCGTGGCAAGGGTGAGACTGCATTTGGTGGTGATCCAGTGAATCTGATGAGGAGTAGCCCATTCCCATTGGTTGGTGAAAGTGACGGTGTGCACGCTCTTTGCTGAGTGGAGGAGTTACAGGACTGTCCCTAGCAGATTCAATCTTTGAGCTCTGAAAAGGAAAAGTACAGTTATATACAAACCAACTAAAATATATCAACACAGCATTTTCACTTGGACAGAATATTCTAAATGAAAACTGGTCATGTAAATACAAAAGATAACAACCTACTCCCACAGTTATTGAATAAGTTACACATCAAGTAGGAACCAGGTTTCTAACTAAAATATCTCAAGTTCAGGCCTCAAGTATGAGTTAGAAGGAATTTGTCATTGATTGCTAAGGATAACTCGTAAGATTAGATGAATGAGTTCTTTGGTCAAAGAAGTTTAATCATGCAATTCAAAACAATAAATTACACAAAGCTGTATGCTCACCTCATCTTCAGATCTTGGTGGGGTTGGAAGGGGAACTGCTTGCTGATTGAACCTTTGAACATTGTACAACTCCATGACCTTGTCATAATTCTCTGCCCACCACCTCTGAGCTTGCCATTTATTAAACATTTCACGACTGATCAAATGTGTCAAACAAAATAAAATAATTAGTACAATCATCAAAGGGCTTAAAAAAGAAATGTGACATCACACACTAGTATATTTCCCTTCATTAAACAAATTTCAAGTTGTATTATTGACTGGAACAAAAATGTAAACAGGGAACTCTAGTTGCAGGTTACCGTAGTAGAAACAAATCAAAATGTCTACACAGAAGCCTAAACTTTCATGAATGACAGATGAGTCTGAAGTTACGAGTCTAAAGACAAAAAAGACTTGTTAACTCAGTTAAACTAATCAAACTATTCAATATCAATAAAGTGTAATTTCATATTCATAAACTGTTAATGGTAGACTAGACCCTTCTAATATCCCTTTATAATTATTGTTTTTAAGTTCTCTTTTTTGGTTGGTTTTCCATAAGACAAATTTGCTTGTATTTCATAAAAAGAATATTGCTCTAGCAGTGACACAAAACCAATCCTGGCCTTTTTTCATAGCCTAGGTACTTTCTTTTTCTTCTTTTTTCTTTTTTCTTTTTTCTTTTCCTTTTTTTCTTTCTGGAGGGAGGGAGTGCATTTGAATGAGCAGGCTAGAATGCTAGATGATAAAAACCCTTTTTGCTTTTGTCCCGGGCTACTACCACCAGCCAAGCATGAGTTACTGACAATGGAACAAAGCTGAGGTCCTCCAAAGAGGCACAATAGAAACAAGATAGAACCTGCCAATCTAGAATCACGACAGCCTTTGAAAAGCATGTGATCACTCCAAAACAAATATGTACTTAGATTGCCAGATCAAAGAACAAAAGAGAGTTTAAACCACAACAAAGGACAAAGTCACATTGGTTAAAAAAACACTACCACATGACAAAGACATGTGCCTACACTCCCCCAATTTTGCAATCTCCAAACACACACACTAGAGCGATTGTAGTAGTAGTAACAGTAGTACCTGAACCGTATCCGCTTGAGATCATTCCCTCCCTGAGGCAACGAAACAAAAGTAATAAGCACACCAGGCTCCACTTGTGCAATCCACTCCTTAGGCTCATCCTCCTCCATGAACACCACTGACTCAGTGCGTCCACTCACTGATGCCGGTGTTCCTTCCCCACTGGAAAGCCCTTTCACCCTACCACCTTCCATTTCCTTCCCCCACATCCTTGGGGTTGAATTGGAACTCCCAGTTCTGCGGTAGGCCCAGTTGAACCTTGCTGAATCTGACCCCATATCTGAATCTGCATACTTCCTATTCCTGTTACCATTGGAAGACCCCGAACAAGGTCTGCAGCTCTTATAGGCCCCAGAAGCCTTCACTGCCATGTCCTTGATCTGAAAAACAAAACCACCCCTTCGTCACCTTAGTTCCCTCTTAAGTGAAAACAAGTCAAACAAATCATGGAAACACAAGCAAAATTGGTTCTTAAATGGGACTGTAGTTCTCTTGGTATCACTATTAGGCTATTAGCATAGAGATGCATAATTGAAGATGTGGGTTCTTACTGTTTGAAGATTTGATAATGAGACAAATGGTGATTTTACCTGAGCAGTGAGAGCCTTGATGGCTTGCTTGGTGCTGGGAGTGTGCACAGCTTCTTCCTCTTCTTCTTGGCCAAGAGATCCATTGTTGAGTTGCTTGGTACACGCAATGCAAGTCAACATTTCTCAATGACAAAAGGTAACCAACCCAAGAACCAACCCAAGAAGATAGTAATCAGAAGAAAGGATGACACTTTGCAACAATCAAACAAATTGAAGATCTGGGGCCAAGTTGATCCACTCCCAAAAACTCAAAAACCAAAAGCTTCATTGAATGTGCTGCTCTCTGAACAATCACAAACCAAGCCAAACAGAGAAAGTGAGAGAATGAACATTTCAACTCTCTCTCAAGAGAGAGAGAGAGATGGAAATTGAGGTTAAGAAATGGAGATGTAAAAGGACATGTTTCAAGGCGATTTATGAGATCAAACCGCATATAAAATCATTTTTTTATATCAAAGTTGGAGTGAATTTGATTCTCTCTCTCTATGTCTCCGAGTCAGAGGAGACCAACACATTACACACACACACATCAAAAACAAAGAGTGCAAGTTAAAAGAATGAGTAGCCACCCACCCTTGGTTCCTTTTGAGTGTCTCGGAAGGGCCATTGAGATTTGAGCTCTACAACGGCTTGGTAACTTATGTGTCTACCTATGTATGTGTCATATAACGTGTGAATGTGTACATATATATAGAAACTAGAAAGAGAGATGACAAGTGGGGGTTTGGCTTTGCTTTAGTGTGCATGCGCCACCCTATTCTCTCCGATGAGAGGGAAAAAGGTGAAAATGGGAGTGTTGCGGCGTGAAGTTCCCAGTTATCTACTTCACCACAAAATGGATGCAGTGAGTCTAGCCACTTTAACTTGCCCCCACGTAGTGAAAATCACATCTGCTATTATTCTCTACAAAAGTTGCCTCAGTTCTTTTCTTTTTTCGTTTTTACTTTTGTAAAGATCTGATCTAGATTATTTTTTCATAATGACTTGTATCATGTTGTGTAACAAAAAATAGCAGGATCAAGCCTCATAATTGTCTGTCATTATAATTTGCAAAAATAACTAACATTATGTAGGGTATATATTTCTTTTATCTTTTGTGTAAATTATAAAAGGTATGTCGAACAAAAGTGTGTATTTGACAAAAATGATTTTATGGATATTTTTCAATCTATGGGAAAAAAAGAAATTGTCATGATCCAAAATTATAATGTACTAAAATTATAAATCTTAATAATCATGATTTCCATATTGTATTTTCATACCAAAAAATCATGAATTTTGAAAATCATAAATATCAAAAGTCGTGATACTTATAAATTTATTGATATACTCTTTTTACCTCACAATGATAACTACCATTTAAGATTTTTAAATACAAATTAAAAATAATAATAAATGCATTATTTTTTAAACAATTATATTAAAATATCATACTCTCCCAATAAATACAATACTTTGAATTGTGATGATTGAATAATTTATGAATGAGTAAATTAGGAGAAAAAGTAATTAAAATTTTGAAATATTTTTCAAAAGTTAAAATGACAGTGGGACACAAAGTATTTGGTTGATCATAAATATTTTTTAAAAATATAGACCAAAAATTATTTATAAATGTTAATTTAGTATCAAATATTTTTACTGAATTAATTATAAGAAAATTAAGATAATGTGGTATTCTTATATATAAAAAAAAAAAAATCCTTCAAACTTATTAGATTTTCAACCCTTCATTGTGAGAAAACTTATATAATTTGGTTTTTTTTTTAAATCAAGTTTATTGAGAATGTTAACTTTTAAATAATAAATCAAACATGAAAAATTAATGTTCATAACTTCATATTTATGAAAAAACTATAAAAAAAATGTATATCAACCACACTAAAATTATTTGATTGGTCAAAATTATTTTTAAACATATTCATATATATATATATATATATATAATTTTAAAATCTTCGGATGCATTTGATTAAAATCATGAATACGTGGTAATGAAAGATTTTAAGAATATTTATAAATCTATTGATGGTATTCAATAATTAAATATTTTTATTATATTAAATATATAAAAAAAATAAAAATAACATGATATTTTAATGACCATAAATTATCTTTTTAATTTAGTAATGTATCATCTCCGTGGGAACTTTTTTTTTTTTTTTTTGAAAAATCCATGTAAAAAACATTAGGACTGTTATTTTTTATATAATAAGTCAAATATAGAAAACTAATATTTTTCACTTCAATTTTTTTAAAAATTCAAAAAAAATTGTGTATCAAACATTTCCTTTATATCTTTTAATTGAAATATAAATTAAAAAGAGATAAGAAATTAAGAAAACTAATTTATAAATAAAAAGAGAATAATATCAATAAAATAAGACTTTTAGAATTACATACTTCTATAAATTAAATTTCAAAACAATTCCCATGTTTTAAACTATATAAATTCAAGAATGATGAAACCAAAATCATATATAAGGCCTTTATTGTTGTAATAAATTAGCAAAACATGGAAAGATATCTTAGAAAATATGCCGGATAATCTCATTAATATATGTAATGATATGTGTTATGAAAATATGTAAAAGAAAGAGAAGAGAAAAAAGACCGATCTATTTAAACTACTTTTTAAGTCCCAAATCAATAGATTTTCAAAACAAAAAATTACTCTTTTTAAATTAACTTTTCACTTTATTTTTCGGTTCAATCTTTAATTAATAACCACAAATTATAAGTTTATAATAGATAAAATAATTAATAACCACAAATTATAAGTTTATAATAGATAAAATATTAAGAGTGTGTTTTTTTTTTTGGTAAAGTATCAAGAGTGTGTTTAGATAAAATTTAAATGAAATAATTTATTTTTGAATAATTTCAAAAGTTTTGAGATGAAATGTTTTTTTAAAATGAAGAATGCATAAAAAATTTAAAATTCAATTATCTGTAAAAAAAATTAAAATTAAAATTCTCTTAAAAGAAATAAAAATCTGAAAACTTTCATATTTTTTTTCTTATCTCATTTATATAAAAAAAACAAACAAAAAACAAAAAAACAAAAAAAAACAAAAAAAACAAAAAAAACAAAAACAAAAAAAAATATATAAACTTCAGAAAAAACAAAGCGCCCGTACCATGTCAGTACACCCGTACTAAAATTAGGGTTATGAACAAATTTTCAACTCAATACAGGCGTACTGAAATGAATACGGCAGCATTGACTATCCAATTAAAAAAAATTTCGTTTGGATATTGTTAGTAAATTCACATCTCATGCTTTTAATGAGTATTGTATATCCATTGGAATTAATATTGAACATCCAATAACACATGTTTATACACAAAATAGACTTGTAGAATCATTCATCAAACATTTAAAATTGATTACAAGATTATTACTCATGAGATTGAAACTTCCAATGTCAACTTGCACGCATGCAATCTTACATGTTGCAATATTAATTCACATCGGTCCAATAAGTTATCACAAATTCTCCCCTTTATAGTTAGGGTTTGGTAAGCAACCTAATATTTTTCATTTAAGAATCTTTGGGTGTGTTGTATATGTTCCAATTACCTCACCTCAAAGAACTAAAATGAGTTCTCAAAGAAGGTTGAGAACATATGTTAGGTGTGTGAATCTCCATCTATAATAAAATATCTTGAATCATGAACTAGGGATTTATTTATGGCTCGGTTTGTCGATTGCCATTTTAATGAGTTCATTTTTCCAACATTAAGGAGAGAAAATAAACAGTTGGAAAAAGGATATTAGTTGAAATGAATTCTCGTTATCTCATCTTGATGGCTGAACAAAACAATGTGAACTGAAAGTTCAAAAGATAATTCATTTACAAAAGTTTAATTAAAAAGGTGGTTAAATCATATATATACCAATTGTTAAAGCTTTAACAAAATTGATGTCCCTGTTGGATAATATTGTAAAAAGTTTCAAATAACATGAAGCGTGGTAAGCTTATTGGTTCCAAATATAAGAAATTAAGCTCAAAACCAAGATGGTTAAATCAAGAATATATAAAGTCTAAAAGATTTTTTTAACAATTAATAAGTTCCAGAAGAACTTAGGTACCTAAAATTATTGAAAATGAAGAGATCTCAACAAATTATGTCATGAATGGAATATTATGGAAACAAAATAACGTCAATATTGATGATGTGTTTGCATATAATATAGCGTTAAATGTAATAAATGATATTGAGGATCAAGAACCAAAGTCCATCAACGATTGTCGACAAAGAAATGATTGGCCAAAATGGAAAGATGCAATTGAGACATAATTAGACTCGTTTGCTAAGCAAAAAGTTTTTGGACTAGTACTTCTTACACCAAAAGGTGTAAAACCAGTTGGATACAAATGGATTTTTGTGCAAAAATTAAATAAAAATGATTAAATTGTGAGATACAAAGCAAGACTAGTTGCTCAAGGATTTTCAAAAAGACCCGCTATTGATTTTGAAGAGACATATTCACCTGTAGTGGATACAAGTACTTTTCGATATTTAACTAGTTTGATTGTACATGAAAAACTTAATTTACACCTAATGGATATGTAGTTATAGAATATTTGTATGGCTCTCTTGATGTTGACATTTATATGAAATTCTTAGAAGAATTTCATTTGCCTAACGATACAATTCCTAAAAAAGATGATTCGATCAAGTTGAATAAGTCCTTATATGGGTTAAAATAATCAGGTTTTATGTGGTATAATCAACTAAGTGAATATTTGTTACAAGAAGGATATAAAAATGATCTAATTTATTCGTATATATTTATAAAAGGATTTGAAAATAGATTTGTCATAATTGTAGTTTATGTAGATGATATAAACATTATCGAGACTCTTGAAGTGCTTTTAAAAGTAATTGATTGCCTAAAGAAAGAATTTGAAATGAAGGATCTAGAAAGGATAAAGTTTTATCTAGGACTGCAAATTGAATATTTAGAAAATGAAATTCTTGTGCATCAAAAAGCTTACATAACAAAGGTGCTTAAAAAGTTTTATATGGATAAATCACATTCATTCTACACTTCTATGGTTGTAAGATCTTTAGATGTTAACAAAGATCCATTTAGACTCCAAGAAAAGGATGAAGAAATACTTGCTCCCGAAGTACCATATCTCGGTGCTATAGGAGCACTAATGTATCTTGCTAATTATACACGACTTGATATAACATTTGTTATCAATTTTTTAGCAAGATATAGTTATTCCCCTACACGATGTCTTAAAGGTATAATGAATATATGGTTATTATATTCAAATGTTCCCAAACTAGAACTAAATGGTTATATAGATACAGATTATTTGTTAGATCCTCATAATGATAAATCACAAGCAGGATATTTGTTTACAAGTGATGGTACAATCATTTCATGGTAATTTGTAAAACAAACCATATCAACCACTTCATCTAATCATGCTAAAATTTTAGCGTTATATGAGGTAAGTCGTGAATGTGTTTGGCTAAGATATATGATTCAACATGTACGAGAAACTTGTGATTTATCTTCTGGAAAAATGAAATGGACAGTTATATATGAAGATAATGTTGTATGTATTGCACAATTAAAAGATAGAACAAAGCATATTCTACTAAAAAAGTTTTTACTCATGATCTTCAAAGGAATGGTGATATAAATGTTCAACAAGTTCGCTCAAGTGACAACCTAGTAGATCTCTTTACAAAGCCATTTCCCATAAAACTTTATCAACATTTGATGCATAAGATTGAACTCTGTCATCTTAAAAATGGTATGCATGAGTGGGAGAAATAAATATTTATAAATGGTGTACTCTTTTTCTTTCAC